TGCTATGACCCTTGCTGACTGATTCAAAGACAACTTATCGACTCTTGGGAAATGGCTCACATCGTCTTTCCCGCCTTATCATCAAACGAATTGTCAAAGCTTCAAAAAACTTGTTGTATATTTACAATATATATATATTATATATATATATAAATATATAAATATATATATATATATATATATATATATATATATATATATATATATATATATATATATATATATATATATATATATATATATATATATATATATATATAGCGTTAAGTTTATTACCTACACCACTAGAGGGGCGTTCTCTCAATTCCGGATATTCCTTTAAAACTATTTCAAATTAACATCGGGTTGGTGTTTTGACTTATCAAAAGTTCTGTTCAGTTTTTTTTTACATCTTGCATACGATTTGTACGGTACTGTAACTCACGAGAATTGTACACATAAACGAAACAAGAAGTCTCTGGATCTAAATGTTGAGTTTGTGTGAAAATATGATATCACTAGACTCTCCCCTGTGTCCTTCCATTGTTTCCACCATTCTAAGTGACACCCACATAGTTCTTGTTCATTCCATATGTTCTCTATCTTCTCTGTGTCTTCTGCCTTTGTATCCAAGTCCCCTGTGACTATCGCCATAACGTGACATTTTAGTTGGTTTTATTGAATTATCTAGATCTTTATAGCATCTCTACAATTCATCAGTCTTATGCTGTGATATTTGTGTTCAATATTACTCTTGAACTATACATATGTCAAAACGTTTTCCAATCTCATTTAGCTTTCATGATTCCATCTGACACGCCCCAAAAACTGTTGCAGCACTTGGCTGTTATTTCAATGCCTGCACCCGTTTTATGTTATTCAAACCAGAAATGTATTGTTTCACTCCTTGTTTGATTGGGTCTCCCATGACGCTACCATTTTACTTTTGAAATACCCAATATGTGTTATTCCAATTCATGTAATCAATTTCCTGTATTAAGTTTTCTGTGATTACCAGAGATTTTTATCTTGTACACTAACGTAATCAAAAAGTGATGTCGATTCCATCTTTTCATTTTCACTGATTTCCTTTCTGTCAACCTTGTGTCAAAGGTGTCCCCCTTCCCCAATCCAACCCAACACCTGAAAACCTTATCTATCTTCCTTTTATGAGTAATATTTTTTTCTTTCTTTCTTTCTTTCTTAAATATCTCTTTGATAGCTCCTTTGAGTTGTTTGGGTGCAATAGGAACTCCCTGCCTCACTCCCTGTTCTATGGCAAACCTTCCTGACACGCAGCTGTCAATATGGATTGTAGCTGACGCTTCTCGGTATATTTTTTAATCAATAGTTGGATGTATGTCTCGTTCATATTTGTTTCTCCTGAGAGATTGAAAAAAATTACAAAGTGTTGTTTGATGGAGTCAAATGCTTTTTCGCAATTAATATAACCAAGGCATAGTTGAAAATTGTATGTGTAGCATTATTTTACTGAACATTGCATCCGGTATTATCATCCTTTGGGTATATTATATCATGTACATTATGCTGAAGAGATGTGGTGATAGTATGCATCCTTACCTCACGTCTTTTATAACAAGACTAGCTGGGCCCCCTTTCGATGAAAGGAATGATCGGTGCTTTAATATCAACTAAAAGTAATTGGCCTACTATATTTACACTGTACTGGAATGGGGCAATAAATCTTGAGAAGGCAAAAAATTAGAAGGTCTGGATTCTAGATCTATACTCTCAACACAAAATGCGCCTCGCGAAATATCACTTCCGGGTTTTCTAAAATTACAGAGACAGAAGCGTCGGCCTACAAAAGCGATCGACGAAATAAAAAAATGTAGCCTTTGGCAGCAAAACTGTCTCAAAACTGAAAAAAACCAAAGGCGTCATGATCTGGAGAATATTTTAAAGAATCGTTTGGCGAAAACCGCATGTCGATCCTTGCAGCCATTAAAAAGCCTTTTGAATAGCAAGATTCGGCCACCACAAATAGATAATAGAAGCCAGTGTGATTTCTCAAGTCTTACTTTTTTGTGCATTCTATGACTTCAAAATGCAATGTCTCAGCTACTATAAAAGATAACTTAGAAATTTGGAATGCATATAATAATCAGACAGATCCCAGAGAGATCTTTTAGAAAAGTACAACTCAAAATAATCCAACGAAGACACGTTCTTGATCTCTGCAGACTACCTCACTTAATTAATGGGGGTCTAAAACATGACAGTGTCCTTCTGGTTTTCTCTTCTGACTGGCTTTTAAATATTTGCATTGTGATTCTCAATAAAAATGTTACCTGCCTGACTGATCAGCGATATTGGTCTGTAGTTGGAGCATTGTTGTACATCTACTTTGTTCGGAAATGGTATGAACAGTGCTTTTTTTCCTGTTCATATGCCATTTGTCCACTCTCCAATATCTTCGTGGATAGTTTACGGCAAACATTACTTTTCTTCCCTGGTCCTCACTTGCTTTTATCATATTATTTGCTTGTTTGTTATCACATCCTGGATAATTTTCACTGTTTGGATGACTGGACAGTATAGCTCATTCTACTTTTGATTTTAGTGGTGCTAAATTTCACCTTCATCATGTTCTGCTTTACTGGTCTCGTTTTGTGGTACTTTCTCTTGTCTTTTTTGTTTGTTTGTTTGTTTGTTTGTTTGTTTGTTTGTTTCAAATAAGCACATTTTCTGCCTTAGTAATTCATTTTTTTCCTGATGTACGTCAGATCAATTTTTGATACATTTTAATAGATTATGGGAGACAGTTTTGGCACTTACTCAAGTTGTTGTCACTGCCCCCCAACCGCCCCATCTATGATACGTCGTGTAGATAAATTAATCAAATGAAAACTGATAACTGTGACCGAAATTATATGTTGCAGCTATATTGTTGAAGCTCTCTGCGGAATAAAAAAAAGTCTTCAGCTTGTTAAACAACTTCCTTTCTGTCGAGCTCGCCTTGCGTGCCAATGTCATTGGAACCATTTACGTGTATCTAATCAAGACAAAGCGATAGCAGGTATCTGATAAAAGTTTTATACAAATCGGCCAAGACAATCAAAAATTATTTGGAAAAAAAAAAGAACACGATACTTTTCATTTGATGAGCTATAACTGTAGCTGATCTGTAGAACCGTGTCTGATAGGGCAATCTTGTCTCTAACATTTTCAAAACATGACCTAGATATATCAATTTTCTCCTTTTAAAATTGGTCGTGTTGATCTAAATCCAAGTTGTTTCCAACGTTTAATAATTTGTAATAAATCTATTCAAATTTTTTAATTTAAAAAATTCTTCCTGGGCATTTTGAATGAAAGTTTTAGTTGTTTTTTTCGTTGAATTGCTTTATTTGTTTTCCATGTCTCTGAACCATACATGAGTACCGCTAAAACTTTATTATCATACACTTTTAGTTTAATCTCCAGTAAGATGATCTTTGAATTCCAGACAGTTTTTAAAAAAGCGGTCCATTTACTTCTTTGATGGACGTTGCCAATGCAGTGAGCAATTTTAAAGATAATGCTGCACCAATTGCATAAATTAATTCCTGCTAGAAGCTCTCAATAAAGAGTGATGTGAGTAATTTCTGGTGAGTCAGCTCCATATACGATTACTTTGTCCTTTGTGGCAATGTCTGTTATCTCTTACTTTCAATCTTCCTCTTTTCTCTTCTGACTGTCAGGAGCGGGATCTTCTGATAACAACTGTAGATCTTGATAACTGTTTGGGGCTGTTTTTACTGTTTGTTGTTCAGCTATTGATTGGAAGGACGGACTCGGTGTCGGTTGCCGGGAGCAGCTTACAGTGTACCGTCTGCCATTCCAGGAGGAACGACGAGCTCAGCTACAATCAAGGTTTAACGCCTCTTGCGTCACTGAAAAGTTATAAAAGTGTTGGGACCTCCGAGTTTAACGTCCATCTCAGATAGGACCAAAGCAAAAAGGGAATATTAAGTTGCATCATGTGTCTTTATCAAAAACGCAATGTTGGACGCAGCTGTTATTCTAACTGCAGAACCAGCGATCTCAGGATTATGTGTACAGTACCCTAACTACTAGACTAGTGACGCCGTGTGTCTACTTACTGAACTCGATACCGAGCAGCTGGAGTTGCAGTCTCTTCTCACACACGCCGTTCGTTTTTTTTTTGGTGTTTTTTTTAGAGTTATCTTGGTCTAGTGAGAACATATTTACAGAAGTTCACATAATTTGTGGAGAACTGCGATTCTGGAAGCAACATCGCTCGCAAACCTTGAGTGGGCTGCATGTTTTGCTCTGGTGAATCCCATCCTTCTGCTTTAGACTGGAACTGATTGTTTTCTTGTGTTAGTTTGAGTAAAGAGAAGCACATCGGAGCAAGATCGTCCATTCAAAAATGCAACGGAAATACGGAAAGCAAAGGTAGGACAGTGAAGAATGAGATAGTGGTGGTGTGATCTTCTCGTCCTCGGAGAGCACAGGACGGTACGACATAATTCTCTGACTGGATTACTTTGTTTCGTTCCCATGTGTGAATTATTTTGCTACGGGAGAGGGCCAAGTCCAACAGGCCGCTGAGAACAGAGTCTGTCGTGTCGGAAGTCAGCGACCACTGAGTCTTTGTCTCTCCCAGAACAAACCCGGAGGGAAATATTCCAGGAATTATTCCAGACAGGACGAGAGGAATTAAATTCCAACCTCGGCCGAGTTTCTGCCTCGTATTTTTGTCTGCTTCAAAGTTGGTGCCAAATTTTCTTTGGCACAACTAACCACAGAAAGAGACAATGAAGCTTGCTAACTTTTTGTCCCACCCATTTTTCATCGCACTGGTTGTTAGAACATTGTGTATAGCTTGTATTGATGGGAGTATAGCCTATACTGATTATGATCCATTTTCTATACCAAACTACGATTCTTCTGATGACGGTGAGAACTTGACAGTGTTCGATTATCCGGAAGTAGCAGTTCTGAACTTTTCGTTGTTTCCAACAAATGGCAGTTACTCTGCTTTTGGTGCAAACATGACAGTGTTCGAGTGGGAGGTTGGAGTAACTCGCGGGTTAGAATTTCATCTTTCATATTGTCAGCAAAGTTGTCCTTCTGATCCCCAAACTAAGTTCAAGTACTCGACCGTCAAATGCGCCCCTTGCTCGTGTTCCCAGTCCTGCTCTCTGTACGGTACCTGCTGTCCTTCCAAGTACCGAGACTGGGCGGAAAACATTTTTAGCGTCGTAGACAGGAACCTGGAAAATCTGACGACAGCGGATCAAGATGGAGAAGGAATTTCCTCTGATGACAAAAGTCTATTTGATATCTTGCAGCGTCCTGACTGCTCGCGATTAGATTTCTATCCCCACGACGTGTTCGCACGGGCAGTCTGTCCCGAGGGGGAATCTAACGCCACGTTACGACACATGTGTGAGAAAAGTCCGTGTGATTCTCTCCGCGGTTGTACCCCCGTCCGACACAGAGACACCGGCACCGTGTACAAAAACGTGTTCTGTCTCGTGTGTAACACACTACACGTCGGCGACCACCACCACGGGCTCGGTGACCTTGGAGTGACCCCTTTCTACAACACCAGAGGCGACCACAATACGGAATATGTTGAGGGGACTCTCGAAATCACCTGTGAACATTACCAGATGTTGTATAGCGTTATGTCGGAGGATGAACTGTTTCATGAAGTGCTCCAAAGACCTGACGCTTGTAGCATAAGAACATCATATGGTTTTACGACAAGTTTGGATAGGTGCTTTCCAAAATTCGTTTCCAACATCAACCCACCGCAATCGTGCGTAATAAACGACACAAGACTTGCGCAGTATTGCAAACATATAACACATACTACATTCATCACGGACCACAGCGGTCTGAATCTGTTCTGTTTACTTTGTCAAGGGGTCTCTCTCAAAAGATTAGATCCCGTAAGACCTTGGCTACCTTACGTACCGGTGCTCTACCCTCCCCTGAAATTGCTGCTTGGCGTAACCAGGAAGCCCCTTGATCTTAAGACTGCTCAAAACGAATGCTCCAACACCACATGGAGAAAAAACATCAACCAGGTGAGCAGTTATAACCGTAACGTTGTAATATTTACCGCCTCCCCCCCCCCTTTTCTGTCTCCCTGTCCCCACTCCCTCCCATGCCGATACAACTTAGGCCATAAGGAAATGGACTGCTTCAGCCATGTCTGACACGACCACCCCAGGCTGAGTAGGAAACAGCACAGCATCATACAGACGTGGATACTCGCCAGTCCATAATATTCCCTACGTGGGAATCGAACTCATATCTTTGGGGTGCAATGGCTTTCTGTAATATTTTATTTTGTCTTTTTGACTGATGAAACAAGGATATTGTATTTCAGGAGGCATCGTAGGCGAGCGTGAACGAGTCTGTCTGTCTGTCTGTCCGTCTGTTTGTTTGTCTGTCTGTCTGTCTATCTGTTTGTCTGTCTGTCTGTCTGTCTGTCTGTCTATCTGTCTGTCTGTCTGTCTGTCTGTCTCTCTGTCTGTCTGTCTGTCTGTCTGTCTGTCTGTCTGTCTGTCTGTCTGTCTCTAATCATGCACTGATATTCTGTGTGTCTTCAACAGTCCAGTGTCTGCGAGAGCGCCCTGTGTGCCCCCGGAAAGCAGCTGGAAGCCAGTGGCCAGTGTTCTACAGCCGTGGATAACATCAGAGGTCTCGGCTACAAGCTGGCAGTCACTCTGACACCAGACGACATCGACAATTTCGGCGAGGACCTCTTAACTCCCATACGTCTTTTGATGATCAGTAGATTAGAAGATCCACTCAGTGAACATGAAACACAAATCAATTTCACACTTTATGTCAAATCATGCGATGCTCATGAAGCTAATGACGTTCCAATCCTAAAATCGGTCAGTTTCACTTCGTATATCATTAATCGTAGTAAAATGAGCAGAGACGATACTGAGAAAAAGATGCTAGATATGGTAAGTAAACAGTGGGATGTGCATGTTGATTATCTGAATGAAACGTTTTTTACTCTCAAGCCAAAGATTGTAGGCTATAGTCTCCACGAGCGTCGGTCTCATTCTGTGTCTCAGAACTGTAGTCCTGTAGAATTGTCATTCTTCAAACCTTCATACCGTGCAGAAGTTTATGGATGGCAACCTAACTTTTCATCGACAATTATACCTAATGTAACTTCCAGTTCGCCACTCACTTTGCCTCAAGGCTACTTTGAAGAAAAAACTCTCGTTCTCACATTTGATTTTGCTGACTTTCACAGGTTTCCAAAGGACCAATGGTCGAATAAGAACGGCTTTATTGACATTACCAGTGCAATCTTTTGCCCGTTTGTAGAAGTTCGTGTTCTAGAGACCTTAGTTCAAACCACAGAGCAGATCACTTTCCGAATTCGGTTCGAAGACAGGGTGATCGATGTCCTTTATGATAAAGATAGTGTCACTTACGTGGACGAAGACACGATCCACATTTGTGTTGACAGGTTCAAAGAGCTCATCAAACTTCCCAAGACACGCGCCAGTTCCTACGAGACAGCTGAGAGAGTCCATTACTATTTTGAAGTGTCTTGCTTCAGCGTGTCCACGGCTTGCCTCATTCTGACGTTGTTGACGTACTGTCTGTTCCCTGGTCTCCGCTCTGTCCCCGGCAAAAACAACATGGCTCTTTGCCTCTCCCTGGCCCTCGCCCAGATCTCTCTCCTCGTCTCTGTTGAGCCCGGGGCTCGTGGATGGCTCCCTCCCATCGCGTGCGCGACCAACGCCCTACTGGTGCACTTCGCTTGGCTCTCAGCTTTCGCCTGGATGAGTGTGTGTTGTTTCCACATGTACCGGGTGTTCAGTTCTTCCACTGCTCCCTCCCACGTCTCTGCACACTCCAACAAGCGACGCTATCGATACTACTTCCTGATCGCACACGGTTCCTCCTGTCTGCTGGTTCTCGCTACAGTTCTTGTCCACTTGTCTTTGACGGGCGGATGCTCCTACGGCTACGACACCGTCACGTGTTTTCTGGACACCTCCGGTTCCGGTGTGTCGTTTGTGTTGTCCCTGCTGGTGCCTCTGTGTGCCATGATCGTGTGTAACACCGTCCTGTTCTCACTGACCGTGTGGCACATCGTGCAAGTCACTCGTCTGCAGCAGCACAGCCGTGTGTCCGACAGGCGGAGGGTCATGACCTACGTCAAGTTGTCCACTGTCACCGGACTCTTCTGGGCTCTGGCCATCTTGTCTGTGCGGCTGGACTACACTGCCCTCAACTTTCTCACTTCGGCTCTCGTCGCTTTGCAAGGCCTGTACATTTTTCTTTCCTTCACTGTCCAAAGGGCAGTTGGTTTGCTCTATAAAGAACTGATATGGTCAAAACGTGCCCAAGATAACAATTCCAGACCTAACGATCTCGATGGCTCAGTGCCACAGCAACGATAAATGATGGAGCTATCGAGTAATATTTTTAGCATGTCCCAAAACGTTAGCAGTGAGGGTGAGGAGGCGAGCTTGGACATCAGTAAAACACAGTAAGGCAACTCCTTTACACAAGAGTTACAGTGATTCTAGCTAGAAATTTAATCTTCCCAAAAAATGGAGGCTGATGAAGGCGGCCGCAAGTTTCCTTCTGTAGTGTCGTGGTTTTTTTAGTCAGCCATGATTTCGTAATTTTGTTTCGTTTATCCAGCCTTTTTTATTTTTAACCATTTCAAAACATTCACAATTGAGCTCTACTTCCTATTAATAATATTCTACTTTATGAAAGTTAATGTAATAGGAACACATTTTTTATTTGCTTGATTTTCGTTTTTTCCATCATTTCTTTTTCAACATAACATGGGGAAATCGTGGAATCTCCCCGGATACCTCAGGCTATTTGTTCGCGACTTTTCGGGGCGTCAAAGACATGTTTTTATTTCCCCATTGACCTGAACAATTTAGATTGTTGGGGGATGTTTCGACCCTGTCCTAGATAGAAGAGGGACTGGGCTTTTTTTTTAGTTTAGTTTAGTACAGAGTTTTACTGCACTCGCAACCGTGTATGGTCATATGTGTTGTTTGCATTCACGGCCCAATTCCGGTCAATATTCGATATAAAATGCTAAAAATTCGTGGTTAAAAAATTCCTGTTTTAAAATGATATTTAAAATTTTAACAACGGTTTCTGCAATTTACTGTCAAGGCCAATGGCCGTTATAAAATCAAGAATTCTGCTGGGATCAACGACAAAGAACAGAACTTTTTTTTTTTCATTTAAAAGACTTCTCTGGGGTCTCTTCGAGGTCTAGGCATTTTGTTTAGATATACGTCTAATGGTAAAATCTGTGTCGCATCCGACACAGAATGGTTTCTCATCTCCCTGAGGGACGTATTTGTGTGTCAGGGAAGTGTGTCCGAAGCATAATCGAGTAAAAATGACTTCGTATCTTCTGGAGAGACCTGAATATTTTTGTGGACCCAATTTGGGCATGATATTGTGGAGTTTGCTGTTAATGTGTTTCTTTCAAATATAGACACACAGTCCTGGAAGACAGACTGAGATAGACACACAGTCCTGACAGATAGACTGAGATGAACACACAGTCCTAGGAGACAGAGTGAGATAGACACACAGTCCTAGGAGACAGACTAAGATAAACACACAGTCCTAGGAGACAGATTGAGATAAACACACATACATAGGAGACAGACTGAGAAAGACACACAGTCCTAGGAGACAGACTGAGATAGACACACAGTCCTAGGAGACAGACTAAGATAAACACACAGTCCAAGGAGACAGACTGAGATAGACACAAAGACTTAGAAGACAGACTGAGACAGACACACAGCTCTAGACATGCAGTCCTGACACTGGTGTACTCAATGAACGTCCCCACACAGCAATCTATCTCACGTCTTATGTGTGTACACGACAACACCAGACGTTTGACCTCACCTGAAAGAAAAAGAACAAACTCACAAACAAGCACACACACAAAAAAATGAAAACCAAAAAAAACAAAAACCTGAAAAAAACCCCGAACAAACAAACAAAACAGAACATAATATAATAACACTGTCCACAACATCAATTTTTTAAACGATTTTTTAAAAAGAATGTTTTTGTATTGTGTTCCTTCAAAGTATGTTACGCATAAATACATATATGTACGGATCATTATTAATCGTTATTTGTATATTGCTGAAGTCTCTTATTCTTTTTTGCTTCATGCAGTACATGATTAATGTTTGTTTTGTGTGTATTCTCGACTTCAAATAATTGTGCTGCACCCAGACCATAATGTTTCCTACTACTACTACTTACTACTTACTACCTACTACTACTACTACTACTACTACTACTACTACTACTACTACTACTACTACTACGACTACTACTACAACTACTACTTACTACTTACTACTTACTACTACTACTACTACTACTACTACTACTACTACTACTACTACTACTACTACTACTACTACGACTACTACTACAACTACTACTTACTACTTACTACTTACTACTACTACTACTACTACTACTACTACTACTACTACTACTACTACTACTACTACTACTACTACTACTACAACTACTACTACTACTACTACTACTACTACTACTGCTACTACTACTACTGCTGCTGCTGCTGCTGCTGCTACTGCTATTGCTATGTTGCTGCTTTTGCTGCTATTACTATTACAGTCAACACATGCGTTACATGATGATGATGGCTTACAATCATAATATTACTGTGGGTACAAAAATATATAAGACATGTAATTCTTCACAGTTTCTCAGTACATTTTTTGTCCGTACTTTTTTGTAACGACAAAAACTGGTTACAACCTTAGCTTAGACTGCTACACACTGAACGATACAGCCCACAATATTGTGACAGTTATTGAAAGGGATTTTTTAAAACCTTCTGCTTTACGTCACAGTATAAAATGTCCCTGCTGATTTAACGGGCTATGCAATTTGTTATCCGTGGAAGCTTTTGTACAATGTTGTACTTCGATACTCGGTGCATTCTGTGAGCTGTTAGGTTTTTGACATATCATACTTTACTTTACTTTACTTTACTTTACTTTACTTTACTTTACTTTACTTTACTTTACTTTTCCGATCCAGCGGCCATTTGGGTTCTAGCCCTTTGGTCTGATTTTGACATATCGTAAGATGAAGTCTTTTTTTTATAATTATAAGTGTTTTTCGTGGTACGTTTGGTGGTATAACTAGCCTATTTATACGCTGTGTTATTCATGCATTTGTTTGGGAAAGGAAATTGGGGAGGAAGGAAAGGTTTAGGAGGGGGGGGGTGGATGGGGGGTTCCTTAAAGAGAATCACATTAGGGATTGATTGCCTGCAAACCTGTACTGTAACCTTTTTTTTTTCTTGCCGGAGTATGGTTCCTCTTTTGTTAACAATACTTACCTTGTGTTCTAAGAGCGTTATTTCAGCTTCCTAAAATAGTCTTTCTTTGAAAATGTTTTTGCTATTATTTTGACCCTCTTTTTGTTAAAGAGTTATTAGGTTTTTGTTTGTTATTGTTTTGTTTTCTAATGTGTTGAAATAGTTTTAGGAACAGTGTTAGACCTACAACAAGTATTTGTCAACGAATCCTGGGGTGAAATTGAAAAGTGCATTTTAAAATACCTTAAATTATCGAGTCTAATGTATGTATGTAGTATATGGTTTTACGGCGCTCGCAACTGCTAAGGTCATATGAGCGCGCGATCTAGTCTAAAGCAAAAAATCAACTTTGACAGAAAAAAGTGAAACTATCCAGTTAGGATAATATCACAGAATTCTACACTTATAGAACGGGCACTGTACCACGTGACCTGTGAGGAATTGAAGACCGAAAACAATGATGTAGTGAGGGCAAGATTTATCGTTTTCGGAAGTAACCCTATAGCTTTTAAAGCAAGAGGGGCTTTTACAAAAGAGTGAAAAGTGGAACATTTACTGTCTAGTTTGTAATTTTGAGTTCCAGAATTCACTGTGCAACCTGTAGATTGGAATTATGGTTTAAATTTTGGTGGTTTTGAGTGCAACAACAGAAAAAGCAGTAGTAAAAATAAGATCTACAGAACTGTACAAAAAAAAATCGTAACGCGGAAGGGATTGTTCCCAGCACTTCCAGCTTCCCACACACATTTTGCATACGCATATGGCCTACGTCATTTTTAGTAGCAAAACGTGTTACAAGAAATTGTTATTACACTGAACATATTTTTTCTCTAGATCTAATTAATGTTCTCAAAACATGCGTTCAACAATTAGCCTTATGTCGCCAGCAGAAGTAGAAAAAAGGACGGATTGGCTTTTAAAAGAGATGTTGCTCCAGCTGTAAACTTTTAAATATCTGTAGAAACCATGGACTTGGATTTAAAAACAAAATATTAATATAATTTATTAAAGAATTTTCTTTAAATAAATTTTTAGAATAACATATGTGTACAATTTAATGTTTGAAAAAATACTCATCTGTTAAGATGAATTGATATAAGAATCTAGATCTAAGTCATTGTGCAAAAGTTGGAGAATCTATGTTGGATAGTTCATGAGATATTTGATAATACGTTGCGCTACATATTTTTGACCGCACGCTATAGTAGAGATGGCGTATCATTTTCATCCGAAACATTAGTTTCCGCATCCATACACCTCTTTTGGCCTTTATAAGCACATTTACTTAAATTTTGTTACTTTCATAAATTGTGTTTAAAAGCATTTTCAATTCCTTTCACTTTCACTTCCCACGCGCAATCACATATTATGATACAATTGAAGATTCCAGATCGGAAGAATGTATTTATTAAATAGCGTATAGTGCAGAGTTAGCCAATTCATTGCAATGCGCGCTATTATCAATTATTGAATTGTTACAGGACTTCGATTTGATCCGTAACATGAGACCCCTCATTTTTTTCTTATACGTGTTCATGAATGTGTGTTTGTTTACTGTGTACGGGGCTTACAGGGGGGGGGGGGGGGGGCAAGCCCATCCCCTCGACATGTGATCTCAGAGTATGGGGATACATTTTTCTCAAAATGCAGAAAACTCTGAAATTCTTGACCAGTGATCACTCGCCATGGAACAATTTCTGTTGCGACTGTAGACACAAGTTTCTTCATTATCACCTCTGAATGAGCCTATCATTCATGCATTAGAAACCACACTCTCAACACACACACAACAGTGAGTTTGAACATATATTCAGGAAACATGCCAGATCCACTATTGTTTACTTTGTTTTGCAATAGATTCTATTGGTTTTTATGTGTAAAACAATATTGGGGTATTTTCTGCATTTTTCTGTTTTTTGGCAGCATGTGTAATAGGCGTATGTATTTTATGTAGCAACCGACACATTCTCCAATTTAATCTCTTGTATTTGTTAGACTCGCATGTACTTTAAACAAAGCATGTTGTACACACTATATTGCACTGATGTAAACATAGAGGTGAATTTTTAAAGTGAGAAATAATACACGTCCTCAATATAAGCTCAATTTATTAATCTCTTTCTAATAAATTGGAGAAAAGGCCTATAATATTATTCTTTTTTTCCCCCTTGCTGTGGATGGCCTTATGTTTAATGACACGTAATTGTAATGAGCATGTTACTGTCCGCGTCCCCTTTATCGTTGTACTAATCAAGACTATATCTAGATATTTTGCCAACAGAATAAATGTTCACAATTAGCCTATTGTTATTATCAAGTGTATTGTGAGTGTGAAGATCTAGTAGTGTTGCTCTTGGGCGCCGAGTAAGAGACCATCAGCCACCCCCAAACAATGTGGATGAACTCTTCAACATTTTGGACCAAGAATGGCAAGCCATTCGAAAACTGACGTAGCGAACACTTATTCAATCCATGAGACAAAGATGCAATCACTGTTTTCTTGCAAATGGTGGCCATCCGGGATTTTGAGCCCTAATTGTTTATGATGGTTGTGATATGAATTTTTAAAACATGGGTTACCTCCTTCAACATCTGAAATTACCCATTTTCCTTTTTAAAGTATGGAAAATGTCGTTTGCAAAAGGTGATATGATGAATAAAGACTCTCAAACAATTTTGAACCGTGTCATGTTTTTCTGTTTTATGTACTATGTGTAACTTTAAGTGGTCCTTATCTCTTTTGAGTAGTATATATTCATTCCATCTTTCTGTCTATAAAATGTTACGTAGACGTTTTGTTTGAAAGATTTTAATTTTAATAGAATTGCTTTGTTTGCCTTTCCATATCTCTAGCCCATAAATCAGTACCGCTAAAACATTGTTGTTGTTGTTGTTGCTAGAAGCTCTCCTAAAACATTGGTGGAAGTCATTCCTTATGAGTTAACTTCATAATACGATTATTTGAGAGACATCATGGTGAAATTGGGCCAAAATAATGAAGTCACAGAAAACGGCATTTGCTGTTGGCTATTTTTTTTCGAATTTTCTTTTTTCTTTTTTTTCTTTTTTTTCTGAAAACCTTTTATGTCCCAATTAAAAACCCAATGTTTGTGTGTGCAAGTGGCTGAAAAGCGTTGACCAAAGGCATACAAAGGTAAATAATGTGTAGTTTTCAAGGACACTCAAGCTTTGGAAGTCACCAAACTTTGGTGGCCGTTTTCTCGCTAATCCTACCTCTGACAGGCGTCCCACACCTCCTTCAATCGTAAATATCTCGACTTCTGTTCAAGAAAGATAGGTATTTTTAAAAATCAAAAGCAAGACAATTGAATATAAACTCCCTTTGGTGGTACAAATAACTCCATAAACTGAGAATGAGACGAACGTCTGACTTCACGGCATCGTATCACATTTTGTCCCCTGTGACCAAACCAATTTATTTTATCTCCTATTTTCAATCTTCCTCTTGTTCCTTCCCGTGGCATACACCAAGAGACCATGAATCAAATCATTGACGTTTTCTACGCCTTTCTCTTTGTACGCTGGTGGTCACAAAACCCTTCTAGTTTTCTCGTTTTTAACGTTCGAGAATATTACATTTC